CTCTCCTCTTCCTCATATCACTAGACTGGAGAACTGCTCTACAACAGTGATCAAAGACAACATTAACTCATTGTCAGAGATGTTTACAGATCCTTGCAAGTAATATAGTCACTAAGAAGTTACAGAGTGTTCCTTTAAATAAATGATTTCTTACAGAAGTACCTAGTCTGTACTCCTAAAATGACCTGCTAGTTAACTGAGGGATCAACAAATTTTACGTGAAAGCTGAGTAAACACAGGTTGGAATAGTCTTGTAGAACGGGAAGGATACAGAATCCAAAGCAATCTGTTGAGAAAGTCCTGGAAAAACCTATACTGAGGGGGCAGGCACAAGTGTGATAGTATCTACAAGGAACTCTTCAGGTTAGATTCTAGTTTCTATTATTCACTAAAATTACTTCTTGTGTGGGAACTTTGGCTGAAGAGCAAACTTGGCTTTGAACCCACAGTTCTCAAATGCTCTTAGTTAGGGTGCAGAGGATAGAAACTAGAGAGGTGCTGCTTCCCTCACATTGCAGGTGGTGCATTTCTACTCTTAGAGCTTCTCTCAGAGCAACTTTGATCTTCCCTTACAAAATATTATAAAATTATTTAACATTATTCTCTAGGTGAAAATAAATAAGACTGACAGCATATAGAACTGAGCAGCAGGTACAAGTTCTTTGTGAAGATGGGAGAATTAAAGACGTCAAATATAGCATGGATTCTGGCAGAATTTAGTTAATGTAAAACTTATGCCATTTCTACTGATCTTCAATTGTGTTGAAAATGCTCTTTTTTTCATTTTCCATTAAAAGAATTCACCTTTTACCATACCCTTGCTGTATCTTTGCATGTAGGCTGTAATAACTTCAAAATCACACAGATTTTTCTTGCCCTTTCTGTGTTTTTTTCTTTTCAAATAAAGTTCTGTAGCATAACTACAGCAAGGCTGTGGATGTGTTACTGTGGCCAGGTGCAGGAACCAAGCCATAAGTCCTTGTTATTATATGGCCTTTCTCTGTAGGGATCTGCTATGGTGCGTGTGGCTGCTTTGGAATGTTTTTTGTAGATTGAAGAGCTTGAAACTCGTAAGTTGTTTGTGAATTGCAATTCAGTAGAACAGTTTCACTGTAAAAACAGAATTCAATGACTCTAGAACCATAGTATATGGTTTGCAACTCTTTAACAGGACGGTATATTCTTGCTTAGAGTATGCATGAATGAAGAGCCAACAAGTTTCTGAAAACTCCTGTTATTTCATGTAAAAACCAGGATTAAACTGGTATATCATATCATGCATAAAAAAAAAAAAATGTCCGATCTTTCTGTCCTTAAGGAATAGTGAAGCATTTTACAATGTATGAAAAAGTATAGTTAATTTTTTTACTGTATTAAAAAAATGACACCACCGATTCCCATGGTAATTTCAAATTAAAATTGTTATTTCGTGCAAAAATGTATTTAATTTATGTGACAGAGAAATCTGTATTACTTTAGGCAAGCAGCCAATTTATGACTTTTAAGCATATTGTCAAAGAAATTTTATTGTACTCATGAGAATATTTGTGCTGAAATTATGCATACTGCCCTAAAAGCAATAAGTGTTGAGCAATATTTAACTTAGAGGTAAAAAACCAATTAATATTTGTACTGCTAAGTGTGCATTTTTTTTTCTCTTCATGTATTTACCCTGCTTTAATAATAGATAAAAAAGAGTTATCAGTAGGACTTATGAACTGTCTCCAGACAAACTACTCAAAAATTTTATAATAAATCCAATGAGAGAGATTTGAGATGTATGGAAAATACTGCTCATGAATTTATCACAAATCCTTTAAAAAAATAAAAAATAAAAAAAATGTGATCTCAGGTCTAGTTCTTTTAAGATCAGTGTGGAAATTGCCACTGTTCTCAGAAGACAAATTGGAATGTACAGTGTATTATTGAAGCCCAAATTTAGATAATGACAGTAATTAAAAAGCTTGATTTTTGCCTTTTTTTTACATTAATGTGTTTCAGTCAGTGAAAATGGAGTGAGTTCTGGTTGTCTATAAAAGAGAATGGAAGCTAATTACATTCCCTGTAACATCCCACCATTCTGTTATAATGTTATTTAGTAAACATTTATGGCGTGGGTCTAATACTAAGAAGCTTAGAATGAACATGATTGAATTCAAATGGGACAGTCAACTTTACATGGAAATCCGTGATTATGCAATAAAATTCATGCAGCGAGTCCTTGATACACACATCAGAAAATCTCCTAACAACATTGGGAGCTGAATATTAGCTATTTTTGCTCTGTTTCCTTTATAAAATTAAATTGAAGCATTTGGAAAATCTTCTGTCAGAGACTAAAAAATCCCAAACAAAGCTACAAAAAGTCCCAGAACAAAACAAAAAAACCCAACAAAGCAAGCAAAAAAAGAAAAACAAACCCAACCCAAAACATACCACCACCACGAAAATAAAATAAAACAAAATAAATAAATAAAAGCACATGAAACCCCAAATAGCAAAACAGTGGCTTTCAGGCAGTGGAAATGTTTGAGTATTTTATTCATAAGCCCTTGAGCAAACATAAATCTGCTTAGATCAACTAATGGCATGCAAATGAAGTTCACTTAAAAAAAAAAATAGTTCCTACTCTGAATGCTAACTAATACCTTGAAGAGAGACTATAAAAAATCTTAAGCATCTGGTGGAGTTAATTGGGGTGTACTCATGAAACATCTCTTTTTTGTCGTGTGCTGTAGCCTGCATTTTTCATGGGAGAGGATGAATTTCAGTATGTTTCTTATAATGTAACTTCAGCTTTTTAATTCCAACTGAAATTCTAAACCCTAAGTGTTCTGTAAGTTAACTTTTTAAGTTTTAAGTGGTTGAGATCAAACCTATGCCCTGAGAAATGTCTGTGTAGGTCCTGTAAATTCTAAGTAGGCAGCTCCTATATTTTTTGGTTAGAAGCAGAAGGGGGGAATAGCTTTCAAGATATACTTTGCATTTCTTTTTCCTGTTGGTGAATTTTTCATGGACTCCCATTTCTGCTCCATATAAATCCAGGGTATATTTGTATATTTGCCACAGCATTGTCAGGGACATGAATCTCCACTTGCAGGTCTTTCTTTCTGTTACCTTTACAGGGATCCTACCATGAGTAGCTTTCCAATTTGTGTACTCTAATGAGTAATCTAAATTAGGTGTGATGAATCTGGGACAAATAACACTTGTGACACCATGAGATTTGTTTGTTTAAAATCAGTCTGGCAAAGCATTTAATCATGGACTTTTTTACTGCTCAATAAAGCAGTTAATCATATTTCAAAGTACAAGTCTGGATCGAAGTGTGTTATTGAATCAGATCCTTTGAAGTTCACTGACCTGTAGTAAACTGGGAATTTCATAGATGGCTGTACAATTAAACTTTGACTTCAGGGGGTATTTAGGTTTAAATTTCTCATTAGAAAGTAATTTCAAAGTGAGGTTTTTTCCTCCTGACAAATGCAAAGAAGCTGTGAATAAGTTAAACAAAAATCTTATTTTACAATTAAAATCAAGTTCTTATGCACAATTTTTCTCATTTATTTCTTTGCTTCAGTTAGAGGTATATTGATTCATAGCTGCATGGTCAGTTAATCTTTGAACTTTCAATAAAATTTCTTTCACATTTTCTACGTTCTATTAATATGAAAAAAAAATCTGTTTTTTTATTTGTCCCAGTCTTCTGAATTACCTTTAAAAAGCTAAAGGGAGACAGAAGCATGGATAGAGTTTTGTTCTATAAAATCCTATAAGTGCTGAAAGCTCACTCTGTTGATGCTTAAGTATTAAATTTGGCAACCTCTGAATCCTTTTTCACCCCAATAAGTGTGAAGAAAGTGACTTTTATGGAAGGTAATGGAGACAGAATCACAAAAAATAGATACTGGGAGTCCTATTCAATTACCAAGAATACCCCTCTGCTTACTGTAGTGTACTCATTACTGCTGGAATGATGATTGAGATTCCCAGTTGCCATATATTGCCATGGCCCCACTGGAGTATGCAGTACTTTTTTTGCTCATGTTATTTGAATGTTTGCCTCCAGATCTGATGATATAAAACAATATCTGATAATATAAAACATTATCTGATGATATAAAACAAGCTGGGAATTGGAAACTTCATTTAAATTTAATTCTCAGTATTTATATAAAAAATAAGTGTCATATTTTACAAGCTGGGCTTTGCTAGGAGCACTGCAATAATATATGAGTATTTATCTGTCTTGTTCTGTATTGGATATGTTTTTAACATTTTCCAGAGGAAGAGAGCATAGAGACATATTTTAAAATACAAATTCAGGGGCCTACGTACATTATCATTATCAAAAAAAGGATTGAGACTCTTCTTTGAGTATCAGATTCCAACTATGCTTCCTGTGGTATCTGCTCCCACAGTCAGACATGATTAATGCTCCATTTATCATGGATTTTGGAAATGGGAGATTTTAGAAAACCCAGTACTCCTCTATCTAGGCTTCATCCTTCCACTTCACTCTCAGGATTTTGCTTAGCTGGTTGTAAGGCTGGAGCAGCATGGATACCTAAAGGATTTAATTACTTCCTGATATAATAGACCTGCCTGCCTAATATAATAGACTGGGCTTGGTGATGGTGAGAACTTTGGAAACATCAGGCTTTATTTTCATGACTCAACTTAATCTGGCTTGGGAAGTCTGTAGCCGGTTTGGAACAGGAGTGTTTCACCCTGTGAGCAGCAACCACATCCATCTGTTTCATCATGTAAAGACCAGAGACAAACACTTCGATGGTGATGGTCAATGTATACCACAATATAACAGAGCGATATTTTGCATGGGTGGTCTGAATGAGAGGTTTACACGGACACACTACACAGACAGCATCTCAAACCAACACTTCAGCCAGACAATTAGGGTACAAATGATGTATACAACATGGTCGGACAACTGCACACCACACATACATGATGCAGAGATGGCTATGGAAAATACTCACTTTTTCACTTGATTCTGCTTCCTTTTGGCTTCTGCACCCCTTTGGTGCATAGCAGGGAAGTAGGTATTTGTGTTTAGTGGAAGAAATTACACTGACTAACAGACACAAGCATTTTACTCAAAAATTTATCATAGACTATTGCTGAGGAGACTGACAGACAGCCACTACAAATGGTGTGTTAAACATTTAATGAACCCAGGCTGAACACCTGTCCCTGTTGAAGCCAATGGAAGTTTTGTGTGTAATTTTTTTTGAGTGTTTAATTTTTTTTTTTTGAGTGCCATGAGGTTTAGAGGGGGCGGCATTCTGTGTTGGTTTCTAGTTGCTTTTTAATCACTTAGTAGAAAATTAGAAATGATGCCTTAAAGGGAGCATCTTTTTCCTTTGTGCAATTACTTCATAGACATTTGAGTTCACCATGAGCAAAATATGGTGTTCAACAGGGGCTGTGGAGGAGGTGCCAGGCCTGGTTTCCAAATTAGTAGATGGCATTTCTAGAATGTGTATTAGTGCAGCACATCTGCGATGCTCTGAAAAAGAGGTAAGTCCTGGTGTGTGTGCATCTTAAAGCTTTCTAAAAGTACAGTCACTGTTATCCTAAATCATGAAAGGAGTAAAACAGGATTGTGGATTTTGTTTAAGGATCTCACATAAAAACAACTTCCAGCAATTTCCATTAAACCTCCTGATGAGTAGGAAGTATTTGTGTGCAGTAAATATCAGCAGTAAACTAAATGCATTTGCTTGGGGAACAAATTCATGTACGTGAGCAACATAAGAGAATAAAAACCAATCTTGTAACAAGATGGCTGTGATGTGATTTACAGTAGTGTTCAGTTACTGTCTTTAAGAAACTAATGGAACCACCAAATATTTGGTGGCTACTCCAAGGTGTGAGTAAGGTTTAGTGTGAGGACATTTTGTCCTTCCTTCAACTGAAGTTGTAGAATGAAAGCAATGAGATGTGCAAATCATGTATTCTGATCCAGACCAGGAACAGAATCCCAGTGAAAACTTAGGAATGGGATCTGAGATAACAAAAATGATACTATTGTGAACTGACTGTTTCTTATTTTACATATGCATTGATGTGAATATTATATATGTGAATTGCAAATCAGTATTTGTGGCATGAATATCGATGGCATGAATTAGAACCGTAATTTTAAGTCGGTTTAGAATAACTTTTTGGTAACTGAAACTGGGGGAAAAATGCATTTCTGTTTAATTTTTCATGTGGAAACACCTAGCCCCCCCATTATTTCCCCCGTCAGTGAAGCACTGGGATGCCCCTGGCGCGGGATGCCTCGCGTGGGGCGTGGGACTCGCGCAGCGCCCGCGGCCTCCTCAGAGCCCCGCGCTCCGCCCACCTGTGATGCCACAGTGAGGAGGGGCTTTTCTTCTGCAGACTCCTCCCTCGGAATCTCCTTCATCACCATGGCCACAGCCTTATCGGCCGCCCTAGCGCCTTTGCCCTACAACAGCGAAATCAACAATGGCTCCAGTCAGCAGCGAGCGGGAACCGCCGCCCCCCGCGCACACGCACCCCGAACCATCCCGGCGGGACACCGGCGGCGCCTGCGGCTGGAAGCGAAGCTTGGTCATAAGCAGAATACACACACATTGGTGAAAAATAAGGATAATAACAAATTTTCTGTGAACCCGACAGTTAAGGAGGCGGTTGGGGTCTAACTGTGGTCTGGTGGCTCGTTAGAGTTGCCCCAGTGAAGTCAACAGGAATCCGGCACTGTCCTGCTGAGGCAAGACCTGCTGGAAGTCTGCTGATGGTAGGATAGGATTCCCATAGGAGTAAGGGCTGGAGGATCAGCCCCTTCATTTAATTTTAGTTACCCCAAAATTTATATCCAAAACACCTGATTTTTTCCATTTGATTTGGTTTTTTGTGATTTTTTTGTTTTTTTTTTTTTCCTCAAAAATATCATCAAGCTGATTTTGCAAATATAGCGCAGTTCCTTGTGGTTCACTGAGGCAAACTCTCCTTGAAATCTGAATGTATAATCTGGACCCACAGTGTTTATAGCTCTAGTAACATTTTAAAAAGCAATTTACATCATATAAACAGTCTGTGTTTTTGCTAAAAGAACATGCGGAGCCAAATCCTGCCATCACAGACATTGCTACGGCTCTCCCCAAAATGATCATTGTTGTTGAACTTAATGCAAGGATTCTTTTTTAAAATTTTACTTTTCTTAAAATTCACTGAATACATTGTAAATCTTCAGGATAAAGTTAAGATATGCTAACGTTATTTAATATATATTAGCCAAAAAAAAAATGCACCGTTATGTACCATACTCTGTTTGATGCTCCTCATTTTTATTTAATGAGGGTATCTATCATCTTGAATTTGCATCGATTTCTGTCTTGATTTTTCATCTTATTTGATCTCCACCTCTTGCAAGTCACAGAGAAAGTTGGAGTGCACACATAAAGCATCACAGCAGAGCTGTGTTGTGCCAGTGACCCTGGGCATGTCCTTATTATTATACTTTAAAGGTTTCCGCTGATTTCCATGGAAGTTTTGACTGTGCACAGAGTGCAGGATCTGGCTCCATAAAAGAAATATTTTACACTGGACTTAAATATGTCTGAATACTTAAAAGTCTACTAACAGAAGGGGTGCTTTAGTATGACATCATATCCAAGAATCACTTTCACTAGCAGTGTATTCTGTGTCAGATAACCCCCTGCTATTGCTTATACTGAGCTACACGATGTTTCAGAAACATTTCATCAATTGCAGGTAAAACCAGTATGAACTATTGCAGGTTCTAAACAGACTTTATTGATCATTAGGTCAATATTAGATTAGCTTGCTTGTGCAACACATCACAGGTACCCTACAGAGAGTTCTTTGCATGCTGCAAGAAATTCTCAGAGCAGAAGTGTCACAAATGATAAGCATGCTGGATTTGTGATGCCTTTGATATCCAAAGAACTGCAAAGTCATTGTAAAATTAAATACATTAAGTTCAATGAGAATTACTTCTAATTGGTAAGCATATCAAAGGTTCTTGGCCAATTACGTGTTTGTTCATGATTCATATGACATATTCCAGGTCTATGAAGCTTGTTTCCAGTATGACACATGAGCTATCGTTAGCTAGCACTAACAGCATGCTACGGGATCTTTACAAAATGTAGTCCTTTTGTGCTGAGTGATAGAACAAAATATTTTATCAGGTAGAGAGGATGCATTGGAAAGCATGCAGTGCTTTTTATTTCTTGCAGAGTAAAAACCCACCAAAGCAAAGGTCAGGTCACTTTTTTGAAGACAGAGCCACTTTTTCTTCAAGGTTTCACCTACTGCCTGAAAAGAGTCATGATACTGGTATTAGTGCCTGCTGTTAATCTTCCACACACGTAGCTGCAAAACCCTGGGAGTGGTTGACAACATATATAAAATCTGTCTCATCACTTTGAAGTGGGTATGGGGCAATGGGAAATAGATACCTCTGTGCTATTTTTTATGTGCAGACTTTGTATATTTGCCAGTCAAAGCAAGTGGTTCGATGCTACCTTATTTTTTTTTTTCACTAGATCTTTCTTTTAACTTTCCTAAAAGATTGCTTGTAAGGTTGACTTATTTCTGGCTACTCAGCCAATGGTATGTAAAATATGATTTTGAAACTAGAACTTAGCAGCAATTTCCTGGATACCAAAGAGAAAGCCAATGCAGTGAAATAGCTTAAATTCTCAGATTCTGCTGGAGAGATACACAGGTGACCAATTCATTGGATAATGCAGTTTGTTATTCTGGTGATATGGATATTTTTGTCCAATGTAAGGTATGTAAGATGGAAAATTTTGGTCTCTGTTCACTGTAGTGAACACTATGTAGTCAATCCTTGCCTAAGTGATTAGGCAGAAGAATTGGAGAGCAATGAAAAATGTTTTTCTATGGTCAGGACAACCTTGTTATTGTTGTGAACTGCAATTGAAATGAAAATCTCTAGCACATTTATTGCAATAATCATTGAAGAATTATTGTAGGTGCTGTTTACTTGGCCTCCTTCAATATTAAGTGCTGTTTCTTAGCAAGTAAAAATGCTATATGAATTTGTCTGGTACAGTAGTTTATTGCTCAAACCCTGTAATTCTGTAACAGCTAATTTTACACTTGCTGGGACTTTAAAATTAAAAGTTTTTTGATAGTGGAGATTTGCAAGGTAAGTTACTTTCTCATGTAAACATCAATTTAATAATTTAGTAAATAGATTTTGTAACTCCCTATTTGTTTGCAATATATAGATGGAAAAAAACTGTGATGCAGAACATGGCAACCCATGTACAAATAAAGACAAATGTGAATTGATGAAGGAAAAAATATATTATTTGTTTTAATGGAACATACTTCTTGAGAAAAACTGAGAAACCTGCCAGTATTTCATCATTTGATACAATAAAAAAATACAACAGTTCCTTTAGGTGGTATTTCCAAAGTAAAATAAGGAGTAGAGTTCAGAGTATTTCCTTGATACTAAATATTTATAAGACAATTGGCTTCAAAACTTAATAACAATTTCTCTAGGTTTATCCTTTGGGATCAGATAATGGATAGGAATAGACATTTCCACGGGAGTATGCTGATTTAGTAGGATTTTGTAAAGAAATACTCTATTTTTTGGCAGCTGCTCTTTCTGAAAAGCCAGTAGCCAGTGTTTTGTAAATGTTTAACATTTGGACAACAGTATTTAAACTGCAGTGATTAATTGCAGAACTTCTTTGTCATCACCTAGGCAATGAAAGGATTTTTATCTAGATCCATATCATTGTTAGAAGTTTGTTCTTGACAAATATTAAGGTACTTGAGTCCCAAACTCACTTTTCAGGAATATTTATACCACTTATTCTTGTGAGAAAGTGAACAGAAACAAATGGAGTGATTAAATTTTTCTTTTTTTAAAAAACTATGTATACATGGAGAAAGAAATTTTTTTTTTGTATAGACCTGTGCTGTTCCATTTATTTTCCAAGATTCTACCAAGGTGTTTCAGCTTTAATTGACACACTACAATGCGTCACTATTCCCTGAGCCATTGTAAATCATCTCAAAATGGACACGCCTGAATTTAAGCTTTTGTAAAGTAGAATTTTCAAGACAGCTTTCCTTGTAAAGGAATTTGACATAAAAAGGTGTTCTGCAGACGGTGCTGACACAGGTATGACAGAATTACTGATTTCATGTGTCCTCTCTCCTTTCTGGTTGAGGATAAACAAAGTAACAGCTTGTTGTTTATGAATATAATGAATATAATTCCATATAATTTATTGGTATAATGCTGAAAAAAGTGACTATCTATCCTCAATTTTCCCATTGGGCTATTGAATGGTAGTGTTTAAAAACAAAAGAAAAACAAGAAAATCCATCAATCCAGGATATCTTGAAGCATCGTTCTGCTCTTTAAATATCTTTAATATGTTGGGAAGGTTTTCACAAAAAAAAACTTTCAAAAGTTTAGTGATAACTTTAAGCTGCAGTAGCTGTCATCCTCCTGTGCTGGGAGAAAGAACAGACAGAGCTGTTGTATGTGTTGAATTTGGGAGGCTTGGCTGCTCTCCAGATCTCCCAGCAGCTGATGTATTAGACTTACAGTACCAATTAAGCAGCCTATTCAAAATGGCTTTATGCTCCACAAATCTTTGTGCTTTGTGCAATTTAAAAATAACAAATGAAGGGACAAACTTGGCTTTACTGTTTTAAATTATGCAGCACTAAGATTTCTACCTCTCAAAATGAGCACACGCAGCTATGCCATGGCTCCATGAGAGTTCAGGTGTCCACAATACAACAGTGAGCTCTTGATTTCACGTAGGATCTGTTGATTACTTCATATTTTTCCCTCCTAAGGCTTTTCTATTCATGTTTTCCCCATATGTCTTTCTTTTCATCTATACTTTTCTGCTGTCTTCTAGTGATGTTGTATCTTATATATGACTAAAAACAGTGAGAAAACATATGGTGAGGCAGTTCTGTGAACCAATACAAGATCCGTATTCAAACAGAAAATTCTGCTTCATCAAAGCTCTTGTCAGTTTTTTATTATGAGCTTAATAAAGTGAGGTACATATTTAAGGTCTGTGAACATAATTCCTTCAGGCAGTGGTCAGCTGACTGTGGTGAGGAGACAGGTGAACAAGCTCTATGTCCTGAACTGGAAGCAGCATTGTCAGGGACAACTTTCAGGACCTGACCTATTATTTCCATATTGTACTTGCATCCTTTGAAACCTCTTATCAAGCTTTCTGTTAGGGATGATCCAAGCTCTTTTGACTCATGACCTTTAGGAGTTCATTCTTATAAGATTAGGATGAAATACAGACGGTGTTGGCTACAGAGAAGGAAGCAGTTATAGGAAGACTTACCTAAGAAGCAATTTACAGTAAGGCAGCTAAATCCACATTGGCTGAGTGCAAAGTGTGCTACTCATCTTTCATTCCTTTTTTTTTTTCATTCTTACACTGACAGAATAGCAGATTTCAGTATTTAAGTTCTAATCTGATCTTATCCTACAGGTACAACCGTATGAGAGTTTGAAGATCATTTAAGATCATTTAAAAGGGAAGACTTTACTGCATACAAGAAAATTGGCAAAGAAAGAGACAAGAGCTGATAAAAGGTAATCAGCATAAATATCCACATTTACCCTCTTTGGGTTGTGTCTTGTGTCCATTTAAATGTCAATACTGTAGTTAAATTACATTCCAGTTTAAGAAGCATTTGCATTGAAATGGCACTGTAAGTTTTCTGTTAATTGACTGTCAGTAACTGTTGCATTATTTGTGATCCCTTAAAAATTGTCTCATTTTGGAGCCTGTAGATTCATTCTGAAGGCCAAGTGGGACAACTTCCAAAGCATCTCTTGTGGAAGCTCTACAAGATCCATTTTGCCTTTAAGAATTTGTGCAAAGTTATTGTACTTAATGCATCTGAACACAAATTATGACTGGAAATTAATACACAATTCTGTCAAATCTCACTCATTCTCTGTAAACTTGTATGATTCCTTCAGGCTAATAGGAGGAGTAGGATGTGAAACTAGTTTTTTTTTCCCTCTTAAGACAAAATTTTTTCTTTGGAGTGTATGTTTTGAGCAGGATAACACTCTGTAATGTTGGAACAATAATGATGATGTAAGTGTAAATAGTAAATCCAGCCTGGAATATAGAGAAAGGTTGGTAAGAAGAGGGGGGTCTGGGACAGAACTAACTACTTAAAGGTTGTTTAAGGTTCTGGTCCTTTTCTGAAGCAGTTATATAATATATCTGCTTGTGATAGAAGGCTTGGATGAGAGGTTTTCCACTTCTTTCTTTCTGTGTGTCATCTTTTAATAAGACCACTGTGAATATGTAGTAACTATTTTTTTAACCCTGATTTGGTTGACTTCTTGGCAATTTGGAACTTCGTTATCAAAGGGGTGAGTCCTTTGACTGCACAATGGTGTATGACTTGAAAGATTTTAGGGAGTAGCTGCAGAATTTCTTTCACCTCTGCGTAGTCTGTGCCAGGGAACTCTGCGAAATCATTGGACTTAGCAACTGGCAATTTCAAATTTGTTTGGTAGTCTTTAGCAGAGAGTTAATACTAAAGTATTTTCTCTCCCATAATTTGGATTCATTTTATGTTGACTTCAGTATTTTGAGCCCCAGGCATAACATACATAGAACAGGAATTAGTTGCTATTAATTGCTATATTGCTATGAAAATGCGTGTAATGAATTAGAATAAGACATTCCTCTAGTATTAGTCCAAGTGAAATTCAAGGAGTTCAGATCACTTTGAAAACAAACAATTGGTGACTAATGTACTGTCTGTTGTTTAAATGTGTGTTTACTGCACTCATGTTGTGTGAACGATGAGTTTCACTCAGTGACTTCCTCCTAGCACATGATTTATTGTTCTTTGAAGTGGTAGGGGCTTCTCACCTCCTGCTACACAATTTTTATGGTTCTGTTTCATCAAATGCTCACAGAACATTTACTAAGTCTGCAGTCTGTTTAGGACAAACAACGAAAATAAACTGAGAGGTGGTGGTATTTTATGTGGAAAAATCAGAGGCTTATCACCAATTCCCTCTTACTTAGGAGAGTAGTCTTCCTAGGAAATCCAGAATATAGAACATTGTTTTGATTTAACTGATGATTACAAGACATCTGTTTCTGAGCCTATCTTATAGACACTGTTTTATGGGTGTAGCAAAAGGGTAATCCTCATTGAAATTAATAGCTGTGTTTATTTAAACTCAGATAATGGCTTGAACTACAAAGCATGAGAAAAACATTTTACTTTTTACACGCTTGTCACAAATG